ACATGTCTGTGTGTAAAAGGCTGCATGTTTAGCCCAAAATCGTTATTAGTTGAATTATCATTATTGGGAAAGCAGACAGTATGGTGGTGGAAGGGGTTGCATTGATGCTTCACAGCTCCAAGGTCCTTGGTTCGATCCTGAGCTCGTGTTACAGGACTTCCATGACAGGGTTTCCTTCAGGTTCTCCGGTTTCCTCCCAAAAACATGCCAGAATGTGGATTGCCTAACTAAAGTGGATCTTATATGGGCAGCTGTGCTGTGATGGCTTGGGACTGTGATTGCTGCGGTTGCCAGAAGCAGTTTTGTACTCAGGACTCCATCAGTGGACAGTGGATAAGTTCAATAAACCGGACTTAATGTGAAAACTGTGATGAATTTACTGGTTACATAATTGCACTATTTGTCCATGTAGTACACAGTTGTAGAAGGGATTTATTTATAATTGCACTATCCGTTGCACCCAGATGAGGATGGGTTCCCTTTTGAGTCTGGTTCCTCTCAAGGAACCGCATATCGTCGCAGGGAGTTTTTCCCTTGCCACCGTCGCCTCTGGCTTGCTTATTAGGGATAAATGAATCTACAATATTACTACAATGATATTTACAATTTATTTTGGTTTAATTTAATTTGAATGTATTTATTTCTGTAAAGCTGCTTTGCGACAATGTCCATTGTTAAAAACGTTATACAAATAAAATTGAATCGAATTGAAATTGCCCCACATGGTGTTCTCCTACGTGTATTCCTGCCTCATGCCCGGTGTTCCGAAGATAAAGGGTAATGGAATGAAAGAAAAAGGGCAGTTCTAGCATTATGAATATGACATTTTCACTCACACTGGCTAATAAAATATCTCGCGGCAGAGACGAGTTTAGAATAAGTGCGTCAATCTTCATTTAACCTCTTGAGGACAATGCAGACTAGTCTTAAAAACTCGCGCGCTAATTTACGTTTCAGATACACAGAGATTTATCAGCATGACATCACGTGACATCAGACAAACTTTTGTGAGACACTACACATTTTCCACAAACTCACAATGTGAATGTTAAAGACCATCACCGAAAGCTTCATATGTATAACATGAAAGAGACTTAAATAAACACAAAAAGTACACATTTGAAAATATTTCATGTTTTGGGTGTACATCATTAAGGAAAAACTGGCTTTATGGATTGTGACATTTGTGTGTTATGGACGTGTTGTGTCTGAACCAGCACTCCATATATTTGATGTATAAATGATGCCTATAATTCGCCCAGAGAAGTTATATACAGTATAATATACAGTGGATGAGTGAACATTTTAGAAATACTTTTGTTTCTGTGCTCACAACATTTTTTTTCCATAGTAAGGTTGACATTTGCGTGAACTTGCCCAAAAGTTATTCTGTATTAACTTATGTTGCATGTTGCTTCAGTCTTTGTTTTATTCATTGCTAAATATAAAAACACAAAATGTAATGCCTGTTTTTGCTTGTGCTATTTTTTTTGATCCAGAGTGTAAATAGATGTTTTAGTGCCTTCGTGAAAATTGAAAAAAGTCACGTCCACCGCCAAAATCATGGAACACTTTTTCTCTCAGTATGTACTATTTCCAGTACTCCAGACATTATAATGGAACAGTATTTAGCGCTGAAAGCCCTACAAACAGCTGAATTATGGCTTTTAACCTGTGAAACAGAAGACACAACTTTTACATACTGCTATTAACGTGACACAGAAATGGACTTGGGCAGTTATTGTTCTGATTCCATTAAACTGGACAGCATGAAAGAAGTGTACAAATTTAGATGACGGTGAGTTTCAGATTTCCGAAGTCTATTCAGTGGAGGTCAGAGATGGGCAGCATGTAGAACATTTCATTTAAGGTCAGTGATAGTTCACTCAGTCATTCATCCTAGATGGCCAATTTGGAATGTTCTGAGCATTTAAATGATTACGTTTTAAAAGTGCTATTTAAATCAAACTGAAATTAAATTAAATTAAATCAGATCATATATTCAGCACATGAAGGCTCTCATGTACAGTATGTATGAATATTAGACAATGGTATATACAAAGCATCGGTTGTTGTGATGTTTTCTAAAGGTTTTGAAATGACCATGATTTAGTATCGATCTGTGTTTTGGCCAGGATAAAATTCCTGGGTTGTTTTTGAGTTTATTAAACAAGATTGTGGAAAATGTGGAAAAAAAACCATGCATTGTGTTTTCAGGCACTGATTGTGTGCAGTATTGATTTTAGGAGCAGCTCTTGCTATTCATGTAAGACAGCTGACATTTTGGTTATGTGCTTACGTTGATTTTAAGCTTAGGTCCAGCTATACATCATGGAATTGTTAATGCTGTCACACGATCAATACTATGTTTTTGAGCCATTATTTGGAGTAGACTCATTCAAGTCCATGACATCGTAGCCAAATAATCTAACCATAAGTGAGAGAGAGATGGGAAAATCTGCTAAGCTGCCGATTCTGACACAGATGTAAATATTCAAGTAAGAAATAAAACACAGCAGGGTGTGCTAATTATTTTCCAATAGCGGAACATTTCAGAAGTGTTTTTATTCCTCTTATACCATAGAAATTTGCTGACCGTTGCAATTTTTATTTATTTATTACTTATTCATTTTTATTTTATTATTGATCAAATCTGTGTTGTACTTATCACGTTATAGTTACATTTAAAGTTAAACAAGTTAGTTCCTGTTATCAGATATGTTATAGAAGATATATACAATTGTTCCCTCACCTGCTTATCTTTTTCCCTTTCTCTAAAAATTAATGAGACAAAAATGCAGCTTGTCATGTTACAGACAAAATGCAAGGCACTCAGTCCTGAGGACTTTCCTACAGTTACAGCTTTAGCTCTGGCTGTTCACTTCAGTTCAATTTTATTTGTATAGTGCTTTAAACAATAGATATTGTCGCAAAACCTCTTTATAGAATTATATATATAAATTCTGGATATAAATCTATCCCTAATGAGCAAGCCAGAGGCGACGGTGGCAAGGAAAAAACTCCCTGAGACGATATTAGGAAGAAACATTGAGAGAGACCAGACTCAGAAGGGAACCCATCCTCATCTGGGTGCTAACAGATAGTGCAATTATAAATATAACTGTGCAAAAAGTGCAATTGTGTAACCAGGTACATCCATTATAGTTTTAACATGAAGTCTATTTTGATGACTGCCAAACTGTTCATGGCAATTGCAGTCCTAAAGCTATCATAGCAATTGCAGTCTAAGCCATTGTAGCAAAACCGTTTGTTCAATTGCAGTCCAAAGCCATCTTCATGGTTTCTAAGTGGTACCATCTACAGTAATCTCACGTGTCTTTCGGCTGTTCGTGTGGGGCCATCCTCAGCAGCAGCAAGTGCTTTCCAAGTAATGAGGCTGTTCCAAAGTGCTGACTAAACAATGCTAAATAAACATCTCCTCACAGAAAACTTTACGATATCAGCGATTGCACACTGTTTTCATTCTGCTGTTTATAGCATCCACTGCACAAGTCCCTGTGTAAGTTGTTACTATAGAAACGATACAAAAACGTATTAGGAAAAGTGCATGAATATATACTGCCACTACTGTCAGTACTGGTGTTGTAGAAAATTAATCAAAACCTTCTGAACCAATCAGAATTGAACAGTTTTGTATTAAAAAAAGGAAATCATATTTGCTTTATTAGAATTTCAACAGGGCCACATGGACTTAAGCTCACTTACTCGAAACCCAGTTATAAGCACTCTGCATGTTTCTCCTGTAAACTACACTTCTCACAACGAGCTCCATTCTGCCTTTTTATTAATGCAGAGCGATCGTTTCCCTCTCATTATCTCTGATTATCTCTGAATGGCACTGTCATTTTTATTAGTTTTATTTTTTCCTGTTTGAGACACAATACTAGCTGTCATTGTTCCACCTTGTTTTTGTGCTGTGTTGTTCACTGCTAATTTACAGCCTAATGATAGAAAGAAGCAGGAGGAGCCGTAGCAAACAGGAAGTGTGCTGTGGTTTAACGGTGGAGAGGAGCGCGTGTGTGGTGGTGCACTTGTGTTAAGGTCCAACAGCCATTCCTGTTGGAGGTGGGGTCCAGGGCTGTGACAAAATCTTACAAAAGTCGAGAGCATTTGTATTGTACACAATATGTTTCACAATGCATAGGTTTGTTGGCAAACTGCCAGCAACGATTATGCTTTTATTTAATGTCTGGAAAAATGAATTATTTAACACATAGGATGAGGGAAAATAAAAATAGTTTTGTTCTCTTAAGTATATTTTTTAAGTGCTTAGTTTTAAAGCTTCAGTGCAGAATTTGAACAAGAAGTCATCTGCTTTTAATGTAATTATTGTAAAAACAACAAAAAAACAAAAACAAAAAAAAATGCTTCCAATATCCACAGTATCTCAGAAAGGTGTACTGTAATCGATATTGTTATGGTATTGTGATATAGCCCAACCCTAATTTCTACCCCCACCATCACCATCACCCTCAGTATCATGTCTTTTCACTCCTGATCGCTACAGTCTCTGACTCTCTTACCTTTTTATCCTCGTTTACATTTCCAACCCATAAGGTTCATTACCCCTATATTATATACTACTTTAAAAATTCACAGTGTATTAGAATAATAGATAACTTGCTTATTTAAAGACTGTAATTGAACTTAACAAATCAATGTAAAAAACACAAACATGGAAAAAAAGGGAAATAAATGATGCTTTTATGAATCAGTGTGTTTAAGGGCCCACAGCTGCAGGCACTGTGCACGCACCTCAGCTAAAGAGACGCACTGCTGCTCATTACAGTCAGTGTCGAAAGTACACGTCTCATCTTCTCTGTTACATTCAACCTAGATCACTACACTGATTTGATGCACATATGAAAGAGGAAAAAAAGCCTTTATTTGTCACATTAAATTCGACATTCTGAGGAATCTAGGGTCAGCAATGATACAGTGCCCCTGGAGTAGAGAGGGTTATGGGCCTTACATAAGGACCCAGTAGTGGAAGCTTGAACCCCTGACCTTCTAGGTAGTAACCTGGAGCCTTAACCACTGAGCCACCACTGCCCAGCCTTAGGGCACTGCATCCTGTGTGGGGTTCATGTATTGCTTTCAAGTAATTATTTTAACGTGCGTAACGTGCGTAACGCCCTTTTTAGACATCTGGGCATGGAAAATCATTTCTGTGCTTTCTTTCATCAGTTTAGTGAATACAATGTGCAAGTATGTGTAATTATTATAAATGTATACATTATCACTGTATATGATCACATAAAGTTCATTAATCCAGTGAGATTTTCACATCTACGCTCTGTGGCAGATGTCTTCGCTGCATAAACCTAGCATGAATGTTGTATTTTATACTGTAGTGTTTCTAGCTTGAAACCACAACCATGCCACACAAAAATGCACTTATTTTTTATTTTAAATAGTAGCTCTGCACACTGCCAGTGTCCAGTGTAAAGGTCACTTTGATTAACACGACAGCATGTCGGACGTATGATGGTTTTAATTATTGTCAAAAATATTCCATAAATTAAGTTTATATGCAAAACCGTACATAATAACGGTTGGTAAGAATCTCCTGGCACCCCTTCTGCATCCCAGACAGCCCAGTGTGGGGTCATGACCCCAAGGTTTAATTCTATCAGGGACTACTTGTTCTTTAGTCCCTCATCCAACACCGGATATTTGCTTTCCTAATATGTTTCTGTCACAGAACAAGGGATATTCTACGTTCAAGGATGCACTCATGAGTAGCATGGGGATTCACTTTATTTCCTGTCATTTTATTTCCTGTCATTTCATTTGGTATAATATTTGCATATTGTTATTGAAGCTGAATTTATTATGCCTATCTGTTTGAGTTTGGTTGTTACTCAACCATACCAGCTCTTTGAATATTTTTATTGCAGCAAGCTTCTGCAGTCCTCAAGCTCAGGAAGAATTTAGAAACCAATCGGGAAGAAAAAGCTTTTCTGTGTGTGTGAGCAACACATGAAATTAAAAAGCTTTAATAAGTGACTGTATGAGATTGACTGAATAAGTGACTGTAGCTGCATAGTGTAACCACGGGCTGACTCGAGAAGGGGGAAGGATTGGCCATCGCTGATGATAGTTAGTCTCAGGTGGCTACCAAGGCAACGCCTGATGCTCAGCTGGCTCGGCTTGGCTCTACATTCTGCTCAGTGAGAGGAAGGTCTTTAATTGGAGCACTTTGGAGGGAAAGCACACGTTCAGGGTATGTTCTGCCATGCTTTACTCTCTGTAGTCTTGTGCATACTATTATATTTCTCCATCTCAATACCAGTGAATACCATACATTATCTGTTGTTTCTTTTTATGTGTTATTGCTGAACTATTTTTGTGCTTTGATGGAATGTTTTATGGAGTGTTTTGTTTGTGTTCAGTGAGCTGATTAATGTTGTCTTACGTGTATATAAAAGCTTTGCATGCTTTTGACAAGGAGTAGATGAATCAGTGCTTCTGGCTGTGTATTGATGAGCAGTCACTGTAAATCTGTGGTTTACTCTTGTGATTAACTATTACTAGAAAAACAAGAAGTGCAGTGCAAGTGGAGTGAAAATGGAGCTGTATTTAATTCAGAGTTGCTGTAGTAGAACAGTTTGAACATACGGTGTTCATACACAGTTCAGTGACCTGAATATTTGTATATGTTTCTCTCTCTCTCTCTCTCCCTCTCTCTCAGATAGTGTTTGTCAGGGTTTAGGATGAGCAGTGGCAGCAGAGAGCTGGATGACTCAGGAGTGGAAGAGGGGCCCAGAGAAGAGCTGGAGGAGGATGACGAGCCCAAAGTGTGCCAAGTGTGTGGAGATACTGCTACAGGATACCACTTCAATGCCTTGACCTGTGAGGGCTGTAAGGGTTTCTTCAGGTAGGCACACACACTCACACAAACACATCTATCTAAAGTGGCTACACTTAATGTCCCAGAGAGTGGTCGTGCAGTTGTAGGGCTACAAAGTCTGATTCCACATTTAACCATCCTATGGAGGATGAAATAGCATGTGTTGTGCAGCTGGATGCTTTTAAGCACATGTGGTTGCCAAAAAAAAGCTACTAGAAAATCAAAAGCTATGACTATCTGCACAAAAGGTATTATTTTAAAATATTGCAGCTAAATGGAATGCAAAAATGGAAAATAGGATTTTCTAAGGAAAATCACTCAGAAATTTCATCCAAAGGAAAGTGTATCCATGGGAAAAAAAAGAAATCAACCAAAACATAATGCAAAATCATCAGGCAAATAGTACAAAAGTAGTCTGAGTGTCCAAAGTTATTAGAGAATATTAATATCACATTTAGAAAGAGGAAAAAAAAAGACACATCTATAAAACCCAACAAGGTAAATATACTGGTATAAATTGAACCTTTCCGTTTTGTTCTAAGGGTATACAAACTATAAATCCCACTGTATTTTGGCAATATGTTTTGGAAATCTTTACCTATATATGAAGCCAGCAATCAATTTCTAACAGTATACGTATGTCAGCGTGTGAAAATTAGTTACTAATTAGCCAATATTATTCGTTCATCTTCAGTAAGCACTTTATCCTGGTCAGAGTGACTTTGGATCCAGAGCCTATCTCGGGAACACTGGGGGTGAGGCGGGAATACTAACGTCTGTACAATATATTGTTAATCACTATTGCAATATTACTTATCTGTAATCCGCACTCTTAAAAAAAAAAAAAAAAAAAAAAAAAAAAAAAAAAAAAAAAAAAAAAAAAAAAAAAAAAAAAAAAAAAAAAAAAAAAAAAAAAAAAAAAAAAAAAAAAAAAAAAAAAAAAAAAAAACATTTTTATCATGTTCTAAGAGAGAGACCAATCAAAGGTTCTAGATCACTTTTCTATTTAAATAAATTGAAGCAACTATTTCTGTTTAAATTAATGCAAGAAAAAATATTACATTACTATCACTGGCTCACCAGTTTGTTAAGACATGAGACATATTGGCAATGCAATCTGTAGCAGTCTAATTGCAGTATGCTAATTTTGGCCATACTGTTCAGCCCTAATTAGCCACCTTAATATTAGCAATATGTTCCTACACAGCAAACCCGTAGTGTGGTCCAAAAGGATCTTGTAACAGCTTCTGGTTCAGCATGAGCTATCAGCTGAGATGGTCTAGAAGCACTACTTTAAGGCTTTAACAAATTGCTTTGCTCTCTCACGCAGAGAGCCTTGTTCTCCTGACAAATGGGTGCTCAGTAGGCTTATGAGACGGCATGTGAAATGTCATTATCCTACCGCTGATTTATGAGAGTATCACCTGTGGCTTTTGGAAGGTTTGTGGGGTAGCTGCAATTGCTAGCATTAGCATTTAGGATTTTTTTTAAAAATTACCTGTTAACAATATCAGAACTATAAACATAACAAGTTATTAGCTGTAAATAATCTCATTATAAAATTGGAAATAAAATGATAGCTAAAAACGGCATGTGCTCTGTGGTGAACAACAGCAGAGATAATGTACTTATTGAATTCTTGTATAATGAAGTTGTCCTGAAAAAAAACAGACTGTTTCATTTTCTTATTTTAAGTCTCCATTTATGTTTAGAGAACAAAGACATCTGTGGCTTTATCTGTTTGGCAGCATGCACAAGGGAAAATAATATGCATCTGACAAAGATGTTTTGTTGCTCTGCTCTGAAGTCAGGCAAGAAGTACAGTGGGGAAAATAAATATTTGATCCGCTGCTGATTTCACAAAGAAATTAAGGGTCTATAATTGTTATGGTAGGTTTATTTTAACAGATAGAGACAGAATATCAACCAAAAATCCAGAAAAAAACACATGATACAAATGTTATAAATTGAGTTGCATTTCAGTGAGTAAAATAAGTATTTGATCCCCAAGCAAAACATGACTTAGTACTTGGTGGAGAAACTCTTGTTGGCAAGCACAGAGGTAAGACGTTTCTTGTAGTTGGTTACCAGGTTTGCACACATCTCAGGAGGGATTTTGGTCCACTCTTCTTTAGAGATCTTCTCTAAATCCTTATGGTTTCTTGGCTGTCACTTGGCAACTTGAAGTTGCCAAGAGAAACAGCTCCAAAGCATTACGTTTCCACCTCCGTGCTTGACTGTAGGGATGGTGTTCTTAGGGTCATAGTCAGCATTTTTCTTCCTCCAAACACGTCAAGTTGAGTTGATGCCAAAGAGCTCAATTTTGGTCTCATCTGAGCACAGCACTTTCTCCCAATCCTTCTCTGAATCATTTAGATGTTCATTGGCAAACTTCAAATGGGCCTGTACATGTGCCTTTTTGAGGAGGGGGACCTGGCGGGCGATGCAGGATTTCAATCCATGGTGGCGTATTGTGTTACCAATGGTTTGTCTGGTGACTGTGGTCCTAACTGCCTTGAGATCATTCACAAGCTCCTCCCGTGTAGTTCTGGGCTGATCCCTCACTTTTCTCATGATCATGCTTACCCCATGAGGTGAAATCTTGCATGGAGCTCCAGACCGAGGGCAATTGGTGGTTATTATGTATTTCTTCCATTTGCGAATAATCGCTCCAACAGTTGTCTCCTTCTCACCAAGCTTCTTGCTGATGGTCTTGTAGCCCATTCCAGCCTTGCGCAGGTCTACAGTCTTGTCCCTGATGTCCTTTGACAGCTCTTTGGTCTTGTCCATGGTGGTGGTGAGGTTTGAATGGAAGATAGAGGTTCTGTGGACAGGTGTCTGTTATACACATAACAAGTTGTCATTAGGAGCACTTTCTTAAATTGACAGGACTAATCTGTGTACCACATGAGCACATAACCAGGCTGTGGGAGCCAGAATTATTGTTGGTTGGTAAGGGATCAAATGCTTATTTTACCTACCATAACAATTATAGACCCTTAGTTTCTTTGCGAGTGGGCAAACCTACAAAATCAGCAAGGGATTAAATATTTATTTTCCCCACTGAGTAAATATAGGATACAAAATAGATGAAAAGGAAACATATATTACGAAATACAATACACGACTTAAAGCTGCAGACACCACATTTTCCCACAGACATTTAAACTGTACGACGTGATAGCCATCGCGATACTTG